AATAAAATATCATAAATATTATTTAAATAAATTATTAAAAATATAAAATATAAAATAAAATTATAATTATAATTGTACCGGTACCCTCCTAAATAATATGCGTACCGTAGAATTTCTCAAAGAAAAATCCTTGCACTGCAGTTGGTAGTGACAAGTATTTTGGGCTGGGAAAAGTTGTGTCAAGTTAAAACAACAAAATTTATTATTGATAATTATTTAATGACAATAAATATATTAATTTTTTTATTTTATTATCTAATAAAAATATTAATAACTAATATATAATAGTCACTAAAATATATTTACATCACATCAAAATTTATTATTAATGATAATTATTTATTAAAAAAATTTAAGTCTCACATCAATTAGAGATAAGATAATTAAAGAGTATATAAGTGGATGATAACTCTCACCTTATAAGTTTATTTTGTAGGATTGAGTCAAATCTATAATTTACTATTCTAAGTTGATATCATATTACTTATCATTACCAAATTCAATAGTACTAAATTTGAGTGCGTGTGTTGAAAAAAAAAACTCAAATCTCAAGTCGATTATAGATAAAATAATTAATTAGGAGATAAGACAATTAAAGAAATCCATTTTGTTACGAGGAGTCCAACTAATGGCAAATTTTTCATTTTACTTTAATTCACAATATTTTTCTAAATGAATTGATATAATTTTTTATAATTATTTTGATTCAGTCAAAGCATGGTTATATGAAAAAAGAATAGAAAGCAAACATATAATAAAGGTGCAACTTTACTTATATAATAATATTTTTCCATTAAAAGGAAATAATTTATTAGAAAAATAGATGTTACACTTTCATTAAATTATTCACATTGAAATATGGTAGAATGTAGTTTTATATTTAAGTTAAACAACACCCGAGTAAAGTTGGCAATAATTTTTAAAATGTCACCACTACAAGAAAATTTTCATATAGTGACACACACCATATAGAGACACAATACGTGTTATTAAAAACCACTTTTATCCATATATAATATATGTTGGTATATTGTTAAAAAGTGTAGGTATAGACTATAGTGACACACAAAATATATTGTTAAATCTCATTGAAAATCAACACTAAAATTGTATGTAGCTATATGTCAAATAAGTATATACCTACATATATTATACCTATAGTGACACTTTTTGTATGTCACTATATGAAACATTTTTTGTAGTGCTTATGTATTTTTACATGGATAGTTTTACAATTGATATAAAAAAATTTTATTAAATATATTTTTCCAGTTATGCACTTTCCCTTTTAATTTAGCCATTTACAACCTTTCTTTACGTTAAATACCGGTAAGAGTTGTACAACACAGAAACCTCATTTTCATATTTATTAGGAAATATTTAACAGGAAGTTGTTTGTAACTAATTAAAATCTAACAGAAGTCTTTTCTCAACCTAAAGTGAGAATCAACTGTTTGGTATTTAGCTATCACCATGGTTTATCATTTCGAATTTCCTCACCAAATCATTGGATTATTTTGTATAGATCCACTATAAAGAATGAAAAAAAAACGGTGGTCAAAAGAAATTACGCGTCTTTAGAATCATGCATGAGACAAAAAGACATTGAAAAATCATAAAGGATTTGTATATATCATTCATTTAGTTCATGTATACTTGTGCACCACGACCTAGGCCTCAAGAATTATTCTTTATGCATAAGGATCATTACTTAGGTTTTGTGATGCATTAGTTCACTTTCCTGCAGTTAACACGAATTTCACCTTGATCCCCACTAAGGGGCTTAATATTTCCCATCTTAATCATCGAATTCGCGAAGTCCTTGTAGAAAGCTTCGGTATCGAAACTGTAAAACTCAACTAGTGCATCAGTAGAACCCCCATTGAAGAGTTGTTGATCAGAGTGAAGAAGCCCTCTCTTTAGAACCAAATTAGAGAAATAGTTTGTGTCAAAGTTCGCGGGTGAAGTTGGGTCCAAAGGAGCAAGGTTGAAGTCACCACCATTTCTCTTGCAAATCTTCTTAAGTTTTCGTGCAAACTTGTGATCGATGTTGGAGTCATTGTGGATATGGTCTCTATAAAAAACACAACGTGCATATCCTATGGCGTGGCCTCCTGAAAGAACAACAAGGTCCTTCTCATCGAGACCATGCTTCTTGAAGTTTCTGATGAGTTGAGAGAGGTTAAAAGTTGGTGCAGGAATGTTTGCATCTGCTGCTTTACGACTTGCTGTGGTGGAGTCTCTTCTCCCAAGTAACACCTCCCATGTTGGCCCTCCTAACTGCATTGCATTGTGCATATTCACAACTTATTAACAAATAGATTAAGTAATTAAAAAATGATGCAATAAACATTGTGATAGAAGTGTATGTACTAATTTTTTATCATAACAATCAAATTTAGCATTTAACAACCCACCCACACTCAAACAACTAATTAAGCTGTTGAACTGATATTCTCAAAATGTTTCTTTGTTGTTTTACTACTATAATTTTCCTTAGAATGGCACTGTCATAACTCATTATCCCCCCACATGCGGACCTAAATGTATTTACACAACAAAAATTCTGTGACCATATTTATGGGAGGGATGAGAATTCTCCTATTCTAATTAAATACTCAAATTGGGTTGCTGAGTCCCTAGATGATAAATTTATTCAACCAAGTTACTCTACATTTATTTGACTTTTGACTTCTGTCTAATCAAATCAAAGTTTCCGAAAAATAATGCATTTCATCAACACGGCAACCTCCCCACCCGCTATTGGATCGATATTGTAACTAATACACCAGTAAATAGTATCAAAATTTATACCAAGTGCAAGCAATCCTTATTATGGGTTATAAGTTATAACGTTTTCTATTCATATAGCTATATATACAGTATTTGAACTCGTTGATAAGTTGTTGAAACAATTTCACGTTACTTAATCCAAAAACTTATGTGGTTAGCAATACAGTTATGTAGTAAATAGAATATATATTACTATTACTCACCGCAACCACTGAGTCACGAGCAGCAACAGCCAATATATCTGCACAAGAAACAAGTGGTTTTCCACATGCTTTGTCCACTGCCTCCTTTATCTCATCCACCACATCAAATCCTCTAGCAGATTGGAAATTAGGTTTTGCATTCTTTTCACTGTCAATGGAGGATGTGGAGTCTAGAAGAACTGAACCATCACAACCCTGAATATAATCACCATCACAAAACCAAGTAATTATTAGACTCAAATGACGTGGTATTAATTTATGTAACTTAACCATATTAAAAAAAATATCATATACGTGTGTGAATTTGTTAACATAAATATTTTGAATTTTCTTAAAATGCATAAAAAATTATAACTTGTTAAAATATATTCTCTAAGCAATATTTTGTGGAATTTGTTCGCAACGTAGAATATTCCTTACGTTAACAAAACAATCATGGAAGTGCAAGCGTAGCAAGGATGCGCCCATACGGTACTCTTTCTGTACCTCAGCCTCTACGACACTTTTGATGGTGCTCAAAGCATTAGGGCACGAGAAGTCATAGTGACTTGGTGCCAATTTTGACAAAGCTGAGGATGCAAGAGCTGCAAAAACAAAGACATGAAGAACAGAGAAATATCTAAGCGATTCCATTTTATTATACATAATATATGATTGATCAGGATATGTGGATCACTAGTGAGAAGTGATAATTAAAAATGTATTGGAGTTTATGTTGATTGCTATATTGCTACATTGCTGTATTTATAGAGGCAGTGAGACGTGTGCTGTAAAATATTAATTAATACATTTTTTATTGTTGGTCCATGGAAAAATGCCAATAAACCGCAAAATATCATGCCTTGTGATTTGTGTACTAGGCCAGTGAAGAAAACCATTTCACCTCAAAGAAACATTTCATTGTATGAAAGGAATCGAGAAATCCTAATGCTTACTTCAGTGATACGCCAACTACAGGGAGTGATGACAAAATGATGTAAAAGGGGAATATACATGGGTTGAGAAATTTTGGTAATACAACTATATATTCTAAGACATTATTTTTATTAACACACGAAATTTATTAAAATAGATAAAATTGTGGGAATTCTATTCTTTTTTTAATGAATTATTTTATAATTTTTAATGGATTTTAACTAATAAAAAATAATGTATTAAATAGTGTGTTATTATAATCCTTTACTCCATCCGTTCTTTAATAAAAACAATATATATATATATATATATATATATATATTATTTTTTATTCTTAAATATAAATAAATTTATCTACTTCTGTAACATTTAATAATATTTTCTTTAAATACATGATCTTTCAGTTATATTATGTCTTTTGACATTTATAACAGGAACAAATTAAAAAGAATCTTATGAAATTATTAAAATTTAATATAAATAATTAATTATTTTCATGTATAAAATCAAACTTTTTTCTAATAATAAAGAATAGAATGTCATAATATTCATCATTTTCACCAAATAAATTCCGTGTATGGTATATGCCATTAAAATGGAAAATTCAGCGAAAACATTTACCAATCGTAGTTAATCAACTTAATTTGTTGCTAACAAAAAAACACTCATGTTAATTAGTTTTGCTCGTTTAATTGTAAGAACGCAAAAGTTTCAAAATATCCAAAAGGTCCTTGCACAATACAGCGAAAACATTTACAATACCTAGTTAAAAAATGAGTACACTTCCTTAAGGTGATTGAAAAGAAACTATACTACGCCATTAACAATTTAACACTTACTCTTTAAGATTGATTTAATTTTGCTTGTATAATTTTCCTTGCTATAGTTAAAAACAAACCCTATACTTCACATGACGGCCTTTCAAAAAGAAATTCCATTTCCTAGTTACTTTTGAAAACTTAAAAACTTTTAGTAAAACAAGAGAAACCAAGCTTGAAATTTTGAATAGGAGTCTAAAGATGGAATAATGATCACGAATTAGCCTAGTTCCATCAAAATATCATGCTGGGGGACTTTAGCATTTGGAACACCATGTTTGAAGGTTTTGTAAATAAAACAAATTTAATTGTTTTATTCACATAAAAAAAATTAAAAATAAGAAATTTAGTTATCTTTTCAAAATAAGAGTTTTAGACATCTAATTACCTTATTAAAACATAAAAATTTGAAAATGAAATAATTTTATTTTTATACTAAAAAAAGTAAAAAAAAAAAAAAAAAAAAAAAAAAAAACAAATATGAACTCAATCTAGGAAAGACAACGTGGAAGTTCATTCATTGCATGAATACAAAAGCCTAAAAAGCTGCAATGTTTAAAGGATTACATAAAACAAGCTTTAAGAGTTGGCCATGTGAAAAATGTTGGGAAATAAACGCATGCATGAAGGAATTGAACAACACATGCATGAAGGAATTGAACAACACGAGGTTCAAAGTTGATTAGTTGAAACACAATCACATGGAATAAGGAAGAACAATGCAGTGCATAACAGAGAAAAGGGTCATGTTGAAACAATTAAAATTATGCCTATGAAATCTAAATTTCTCTATCCAATTTTTTAAATTATGCTCAAATTGCTCGAGCCTCTCGTTCACTTGCTCATCCATATTCTATCCTACATTTCTTACCTTTCCTATTTCTTCCATAATCTAAAGGCTTTTGAGTTTTATTATAGATTTGATATCTTTATAAATTTTAATCTGATTCTCTGGATGAAATGCTAACCTCAAAACTCAACAAAGCTAAATTGTAATATTAAACTCCAAAGTATCTCGTTGTTTTCCAGTAAATAAAGACAATTTCCACTAATATTCCTCGTTAACAGAAAAAACAAGAACATTTGTTTTTTCCCCCTAAAAGACAACACCTAATGTTTTTCAATGACTGGAAAATTGACGTAAACATTTGTTCAAGAGCTAGTGAACTTGGTGACAGCCTTGGTACCCTCAGAGACAGCATGCTTTGCCAATTCTCCGGGCAGCACGAGCCTGACCGCGGTCTGAATTTCCCTTGAAGTGATAGTGGGCTTCTTGTTGTATCGCGCGAGTCTAGAAGATTCCTGAGCAAGCTTCTCAAAAATGTCGTTGATGAAGCTGTTCATGATTCCCATGGCCTTGCTTGAGATCCCAATGTCTGGGTGAACCTGCTTCAGAACCTTGAAGATGTAGATTTTGTACGTCTCCACGTTCTTCTTCGACCTCTTCTTCTTCTTCTCTCCTCCTTCCTTTGGAAGCTTCTTCCCCGCCTTCGCCGGAGCCTTCTCTCCCACAGTGGATTTCTTCTCCTCCGTGGGCTTCTTCTCCTGTGGCTTCTTCTCCACCTTTGGTGCCATCACAAGGTGAAAGTGAAATCGAAGGGAGTTAGGGTTTCGGATTGGGACGATATGAGTGAGCGAGTGTGAATGGTTGCAGTGTTGCAGCGAACATTAATATAGGAAAAGGCTTCCGTGTTCTTATTGGCTAAGGGGGTTTGGCGCGGATCGATGACGTGGATCTTGTTTTATTCTGGACCAAAATCTGAGAATAGACGGACACGATTTAAAATTGACTTGACCGGGATGCGCGGATTGATGACCTGGCGAATGATGGACGGATGAGATGCTTTTTGCTCAAAACTGGAATCTCTTGACTTTTCAGATTTCATTGCGCGCCTAAACGGACATTTCCCTCCGCTTCATAAATCGCGGTTGAATATATGAATTTTGTTTTTGGTAAGAAATGTATTTATTTATAATTATAATTATAAATATCATATGAGAAAACATTAACTATATATGAATATTTATGTAGCCTGAATTTCAGAATAGTCTTTTTGAGGAAAGAAAAGATAACGTTTTTATTTTAAATGTTGATATAATATATACTCCGTATTTTGATTTGGTTATCAACCTCAAATTAATTCAAAAAGAAATCTTTATAGTGAAAACCTATATTTGAATTGATTCATTTAATATAATAAAGTATAATTGAATAATAATTCTATAATTAATATATAATAGTGATGTATTATTTTTGTATATATAATTTTTAAGATGTTTTTACTTTTATGATAAATATACACTTCTTTATCTTAGTGGAGATAATTCAACAATTTTACTTTATAAATTTAAATAAAATTATTATTTGTTAAAAATAAATTATATACTCTATAATTGTTTTGTAATTTTCGCATTACATGATATTAACAAGATAAGGAGTATCTTTTCTATACTATTTCATATAAAAATTATATTTACTTAGTATAATTCTTATAATATTTATGAATAAATTTTGTATATTTTCACCTGTTGCACGGGTTATAAAATTAGAGTAATACATTTGTCCACATTTAAATACGTGTTAGTCCCTTACGTGATTTTTTTCCCCTTGCTGTTTGTTGCTTTACATAGTTAGGATACAACTTGATATAATTTCTTAATATTTTTAGTACTATTCTTGAATTATAATAATTTTATTTTCATAATCTGTACTGATATTTAATACAGTTCAGTTGTATGTAATTTACCAACTTAAAAGTTCAATTTTGAGGGAGAATAACTCTCAACATATATACATAAAGAAATACATTTCATTTGTTCTATTTGTTTATTGTTTTACATTCGAATTGGATTAATATTTTATGTATTCACTGTCCTTTCATGTTTAACATTTCTGGGTTAAATAATATAATCATTTCACTTAGTGTTTTAAAACCCGGACCGACCCGGCCGGTCGGACCGGAGGAAATATTTTTTATTATTAAACACATGTTAACAGATGAAAAATGAAATTGTTAAAGATTTCAATTCAACTAATACTATAACTTAATAATGTATACAAGTCCAAAACGATCTTGTTTCATAATCCACCATTATTTTAAGACAAACAAAGGATATTTAACTAAATTTGGTTTGTGACAGGTTCCATTCCCTGCATCATACCCAATTTCGGACAAATTACTCACTCTTCATGCCCATTTATGATTACATTTATGGTACTATGGACAAAACTACAGACACCACATATAATATATCATTGAAAAGAGAAGAAACTTCACCAGATGTGGTACATCTAACACACCTTACAACCCCAGAGTCTATCTATCATCTAAGGTTGGGGTTTGCTTCCTTGGCCTCCAAACCCCAATCTTCTGAATGGTACCTCTATTTGATGTGGCCTTTCACTCTTTGGTCTGTTCTTGTGACTTGGTTTTATGGCCAAACGTTTGTCTTAGAGAGGAATGCTTTCAAAACACTCAATTTGCAATCATGGGTTATACCAAGGTTCCATGTACAAGTAAGACTTGGGTATATAATATAATTTTTCATTTCTAAGGAGGAAAATATTTCTTATAAATAATATTTGTTTTTGTTTCACAATTTTACAGTATCTTTTCAAATGGCAAAGGGAAACATTGAACAAACTTATAGAAGAAGCAATACTTCAGGCTGAGTTGAGCAAAGTTAAGGTTTTAAGTCTAGGTCTTTCAAATCAGGCAAGTCCTTTTTATTTATTTATTTATTTTTTATTTTTATTATTATTATTATTATTATTATTATTATTAGTATTATTATTATTATTATTATTTACATTATATCATCTCTTTCTTTTTGATACTGAAAAATAATATACGTTATATTATTTTTTTTATTCAATCAGATTTAGGTCTTAAGATGCTAAATAAATTATTTGCATCTCATATCACTAGATCAATTTTAATGATTTTATATTCGGTATATATATACCGATGTAAGTTATTGTTAGAAAACTAAAAAATACTAAGATCTATTATTAAAGAAAGTATAAGGAAGATAAAATATATAACATATTAAAATTTTTCATTGATGCCTCATAAGCTAAAAGGAATACATATTTATAATCTATTAGTATACTAAGATGACCCTACATATATCATCATATATTAGGAAATTAAAAACAATAATAATTTAAATTCGTCCTATAAAATCTTCAAGTCACTTAATTTTCTTTCATGGGTCTCTCTAAGCCCATCCTATATGCATACTTTTATATTCTTAATTAACTTTAATAATTTTTATTGGCTAGTTTCCACTAGTTTGATTGAAGTTCTTATCCTATAAATGATACTTCCAAAAATTTAACCAAAATTATTTGTAATCCTATTCATATAAATCAAATGCTGAAACATGCATGTGTGCGTTAGACGAAAATTTTGATAGTTAATTCTATCCGTAATCTGTATTTCAATATTTCGTTGATTCAATTTCTTTTGTTTGAATTTTATTATTCGAATAGGCTCAATTTTTTTTTTTTTCTGTTGGACATCCATGTATATAAACCACATATGTTTAGCTAGAAATGATAAGCTCTATTTTGCTCTAATCATAATATAGTATATATCAATACACAATTCTTTCATTCCATAACTTTTCTCCCCCTTTCACCCTTTTTCCATTTTTCCAGATAAGTACAAATTTATTAGAAGATGGAGTACAAGGGAAACCTCGCCCATTACTTCATAAATCATAATGTTTTTTTTTTTTTAAATAAAAAGACATAGACAAAAGAAGGTTTGACCATCACTCATAGAAAGACAATCTTGTTTTCAGTTCTATCTTTGATCCTTAGTTAATTCCTAATCTTGACCATTTCTACTACCTCTTTTTATTCATCCGAGAAAAAATAAATTTGATTTCTATATATGTATCCATATAGACCAAATAATGCGAAAACCAAATGAGCTTTCAGATTTCCTTATATATGTTCCTTCTTGTTTAGCATCCCTATATTTTGACCAAAATGTGTGTGGTATAACAAAACATTGTAGAGGTGTATTTGTACTTAACTAAGAGTAACATGATTATCATAACAAATATGATACCTTAAATGAGAAAAATAAGGGGAACAACCATAAAGAAATGGACTACCACATATACTTCAACACAAAGTACAATTCACTTGCTTCTTGTTTTGGTACATCCATGGGCCTATATGTAAAACGAATCCATCAAAAATATGGAAGTATGAACATCCTAAACCCTAAACCCTAAACATATTATTCTCATCTTACCTTTGGGCATGTAGGCTTTTTGGGCTATTAAGTCAAAACTCTCTCTTTGTAAATATGGGTGACACCCCTAGTGCCCAAATATTAATATATTTTATTTGTTGTTTCAAAAAAAAAAAAACTTGCTTCTTGTCTCTTCTTCAACATAATTACTTGACATCCTTTCGAAACTCCTTTTCAATTCCATTTAATCTGTTATTTCCCAAGATATATATGTTTAGGGAGATGCTTGATGAGAACAGATGTTAATGCTATTAATATTTAAATAGTTGGTTAATTCAGTTTATTTAGTTTTATCATTCAATTAGGTTGAATCTATTTATTTAGGGTTCGTCATGTAAACCATGCATGCTCATTTAAAAATATGTTCAATTTTGCTTTGCTCATAATAGTATGCTTAAAACAATTTTTTTTTTAAGAAAGCATTGTTCAATGATTGCAGGGAGATTCACTCAATAAATATGGTGAACTTTACTTGAAAAGATACCCCGAACTTAAAATAAAGATCGTGGACGGCAGTAGCTTAGTTGTGGCCATTGTTCTTAACAATATTCCCAAAGAAGCAAGCCAAGTGCTTCTTTGTGGCAAACCTAATAAGATTTCATATGCCATTGTGAGTGCTTTATGTGAAAGGGGTACAAAGGTATGTTACTTTTATTTAGGGAATTTGTTTCAATAAAAAAATGAATGTGCAATGCCATGTTTTTATTCACTAAGACTAATCTTTTAAAAAAAATTAATTTAAAAATATTCATGAAATAGATGAAATTTCAATAGTATGACTCTATGAGAATGCGAGATTTACTTGCTACATTTGTGTCCTTGGTAAATGTTTCAATTTTTAGGTTACAACTATGTATAAGGATCAATATGACAATCTTCAATTAAGGCTCTCCACTAAGTCCAAAAAGAATTTGGTTTTCCCAGGATCCTATACTGCAAAGGTAAATCCCTCTAACCATTTAATAATACACCTCTTCATTCCATTTGAAAATTTCAATTTGAATTTCAATAATAATAATAATGATAATAATAACAATAATATGCTTTTTGGAGTAAAAACTGAAAAGAAAACATCACCGAAATCATGTGGGTTCATTTGAATTTGCAGATATGGCTAGTGGGAGACCAATGTAACGAGGCTGAACAAAAGAAAGCACCAAAAGGATCACTGTTCATACCCATTTCCCAATTCCCTCCAAAGAAACTTCGCAAAGACTGCTTCTACCACAGCACACCAGCAATGATAGCTCCCCCTTCTTTAATGAATGTGGACTCTTGTGAGGTAAGCAAACACACTTTCATTTATCTTTTTTTTTTTTTCCTCTATCAATAAAAAATGATAGATAGGAGATGACACATACAAGAGTACCAGGTAAGAAATCAATGATATACTAAGAATTCTTAGATTAAACACTATTACTCACTTAGTAATTAATTGAAACTTAGTAGTATCTAATTTGACTTCGAATTTTATTTATCGAAGTAAAAGTTAGAAAAACCCCTTCATCTCTAGAACCAAGATATTTCTTTGAGTAAGTACTATACCCATCAAAGTAGAATTTTAATGATATCAGGGAGTCTCAAACCTGCATCACGAGAAACACAAACTATCATATCTTATATAATTTGTGGTAATTTAGAATGGTCACTTTCATTTATCTTAGTATAATGGATAATAAATTTGAATTTAACATCTTATACAAATTAACTACTCAACTTCCACCGTTAGGCTGATTTTAGTATGTTAAATACACATTCATTTAATTGTTTTCGTTTCATGCATTTTGGTGCCAAAATTATTTCATTAATAATGAATTTCAATATGCAACAGAACTGGCTTCCAAGAAGAGTGATGAGTGCATGGAGAGTCGCTGGAATATTGCATGCCTTAGAAGGTTGGAACGTTAATGAGTGCGGAAATGTCATGTTTAGCGTTGAGAAAATATGGCAAGCAAGTCTTCAGCATGGGTTTAGGCCACTCAAGATTAATCCCCTTTCTTCAATTCTAAATTAATTAGCATTATATAATTCTATATCAGTGTGTGTTTATATATACATATGTCAACGGTTGATCAACTACCTTATGATATTTCCAAATGAAATATGAATTCTATCAAACTATATAGCTTATGTAACATTATGACATACCATATAGCTTATGTAATATTATAGCATACCTCTACATTGTGTCTCATGGTACATGTTGTGTAATAGAAAGTATGTTTAAATGGTGTAGAAATGGTCCTTTCGAAAATGGATTACTTTTAGGAGTGGAGGGGAATATATATTTGCTAATATATTTTCTCTTGTTCGTTTCATTTTTTTTCCCAAAGAATACATTAGCTAATTTAGATTTGTTAAATTTGATACATAAAACAAGCTTTTTAATTTGCACTTTAAAAGTTCATAAATACAGGCATAAATCGGTCTTTACAAAGCTCAAGATAAACAAAATATGATAAAAAAAATTGTAAGTTCAAATCATAAAAAAATAACATAATATTCTCTAGTTTTAATGTCACATTATTAGAGCAAGACCCATAAACCAAACCGAAACATTAAAGCTTCTTCTCTCTCATGCTCAGCCTCATACACTTGATAAGCTCTTGCATGACATTTAGTTCAAATAAGAAAACCAACAAAAGCAAATACAAGAGGAGAGAACATATCTCACACATGTATAACACTTATAAAGCTTATGGATAACATAGCAAACACATCACACAACAACAACTCATATCAATAATAATCATCCAATCCTCAATAACTATAACACTTCATATCAACACGTGAAACTAAAATATTGTTGAATCCTACCTAAATATGCTAAATAAGGACAAATTCTTAGTTTCAAATTTGAGAAAATAAGAGTTACCATTTGTTTGCTAATAAGTTTGTTCAACTTTTTTCGCAAAATTAAGATCGATCAAAAGGCTTGTCAGAACCCGAAAAAATTCCAACGCGGTCTCTCGACCAACAGATGGTTTGAACCTTCGTTTGAAAAATCTCATCAGTTTCAGATTGCCCGAAGACCGGACTAATCTTCCAACTAATGGTTTTGAAAATGGTTAGAAGGAGTCACCACCAATATTTTACACAAAACATCAGAAAAAGAAATTTTTTTCGCAAATTCAACTTTGGCTTTCACAGCCAAAGTCAGGTTTAGGGGTCAATTACGCGTGAGGAAGGTGTTAACCACCCCACAATGCTGAATTCAATATCCTATGACAATTCCAACATTAAAACAATATAATTGAACTTTTACCCTTTTTATTTATTAAACATACGTGGCTATTTATTCCTGCATTATTCCTATTTTACTATGTTTTGCCTTAACGTCTACATGATGACTATCATAAGCATACAATTAAAGTAGTAAGTAAGGAAAAAAGAATGGAACCTCCAAAGCAATCTTTTAATATTATCTTCTCGAAAAAAAGTTAGGGGCACTTTTTGACAACCTCCTTACTCTACAAGAACCTCTCAATCGCTTAAGAAAGACTCTTAAACTATAGAAACTCCAAAATCTCTGCCAAAGGGACCAAAGATCTCTTAATCAGGCTCTTAATGAGTTTATTTTACTCAGAGTGCTCTAAAGGGAGTCAAGGAGGGATCTAGAATTGTAGACATCCAATTTCTTCAGGGGTACCCAAACCAAGGACAAAGGTCTAATAAAGTGAGACAAACAACCCTTGAGGTCCCAACGTGTTGGGAAACCTTTTTGTTATGATAATATTTCTCGTTACAGACCTAATTTTGACGATCCAACCATTGAGTTTAGAGATCAATGTATTGAGAATATATCATCGAAATTGCATCATGATCCAACGGTTAAAGAATTCTCTAGAGTTCTTACATTGCAGCTGGAAAAAGTAGTACGTACGGTCCCTAAGGGCCCAATAGAGTACCTAAACAGACCAAGATAGCTTCAGAAGGCCCATAAAACTCAAAAAAATAGACCTAGGGCATGGAACTGCTGTTCCCAAATTAGAACAGGTCGTTCCCAATGTTGGAACAACCCGTTTAAAAAATGGAACGTCCTGTTCCCCTTTCTAGAAAATTTTGCACTAGGCAGCATTTTTGTTCTGATAATACCTATTGCTAAAGACCTAATTTTGTTGATCCGACCGTTGAAGTTAAAGATCAATGTATTAAGAAAATATTATCAAATTTTCAACATGATCCAATGGTTAATCAATTCTCTAGACGCCTGTCCTATATGTCTCAATTATCCCTCCTTTCCAAGTGTAATGGCTTGAAAATGGATTAGCTTCACCAAGGCTTAACAACCATCATGAGAATGTGGAGTCCAATAAAATAAAAAATAAAAATTCACAATTAGAAGAGGCTAAACTCAAGCAAGAATTATTGTAACAAACTCAAAGAGAGCCAAGAAAGACACAAAGCAACAATTAAAGGCTAATTTCAACACTAGCACTCAAAGGAATAATCCTAGGAATGGCTCTAGAGTTGATTACAAAATCAAAACAAAATTTGTGCTATTATTGTGAGTAATTAGAGATGTTTTCCCAACCACTGGACAACAAGTAAACCTCAAGAAAAATAACACAAAAATTTCAAGGCCGAGTGCTCTTAATACTTCTTTATTTTTCACTTTTTTTTTCTAGCTTTTGCTTTTGTTTTTTTTTTTCCTTTTGTTGTTTTCTTGACTCTTTTTTTAATACTGAATATGAGTACTTAATGAAGTTAGCATAAAAACACAAAGAAGGGGGGGTTGAATGTCTGTGTGTGAGAACGAAGGAATTTTAAAATCGTTTTCACAAAGAGACTCTTTTCTGTCTAAAAACAATATTATCTAGAACACTTGAAAACTGTGCAAGGTTGGCTCAATAATATATTTTTTGTCTGAAGGTTTATCGTCTGCATAAGAAAATTGTTTCTTGAAATGGAAAATGTTCTTTAAGGTATTAAGTTGCACAAGTATATTTTTTGTCTGAAGATAGTTGTAGGCAAAAATAATTAGTGGACGAAATTTTTAGTATGATATAACAGCTAAATAAAATTGTTCTAAAAATAAGTAAAGAATGCAAAGAGTTTTATACTGGTTCGTTCGACCTGAGCTACATCCAGTTTCCTTCAACTGAAGGGTTTCACTAATCACAACGGATTACAAGTATTATCAATCACTTCTGGTTCGTGAACTTCACTCGTCGACACTAATATTCTTAAACCACTTCTGGTTCCCCAAGTATTATCAACCACTTCTGGTTCGTCAACTTCACTTGTCGACGCTAGTATTCTTAAACCACTTCTGGTTCACCGAGTATTCTCAACCACTCCTAGTTTTCCAAGTATTCTTTCAAATAGTCTCTCCAGGCTTTACAATAGATGAATGATTTGAGTGTGTATAACTCTCACAGAGAGGATAGGATGATTTCTACACTCACTAAGGTATTCAACCTTAGTTTTACAAAGATGTGTATTTTGAGTGTGTGTGTGTGTGTATTACTCTCACAAAGATGATAGGATAATTTCAACACTCACTAAGATAAACTATCTTTGCTTTGACGTTTATTTTTGCTTATTGCTCGTTGCTTATCTTCTCTACCCTTCTCTTGTTTTGTCTTATATTTATAGTCTTATGATAAATTTGCCCGTTGTTTGAATTTGAAAGTGTTCGTTGGAGTGGAGCTTCCCGTTGGTGCAGATAGCAGTTCGTTCATGGCTATGTGGATCTTTTCATTTAATGCATTTGATCTTGCATTAAATGTTTGCTTGCCGAATCTGTGTTATGTGAAGTCTTTTGCGTAATTTGTTGACTTTTATGTCTGACTTCAATCATAACCTAGGTATATATGTTCTCTTTCCGTCATTGTATTTGCTCTTTTTTTTTTGTAAAGTAGGTGTACTTGATCTAACACACGCAACTGTGACTTGTGGATTCGCGCTTGCCAATTTTTCTTCTTTCTTTTGGCAATATTGATGACTTTGTGTGCTCTTCTTATGAGTGTAGATGATATATGATATCTCTTGTTGTGAATAGTTAACTTCAGATGCTTTTCAATATTCTTCGTCTGCATCTAGAATTTAAGTCTTCATCTGAGAGGTAGACTTTGACTTTTCCTTTCATCTGTTTTGACTCTTCCTTTCGTCTGGTCAGTTGTGAGGATGGAATACTTTAATTCCTTCTGGAATGTTTCTCCGTCTTGTGTTATCCATCGTTTGATACTTTTTTTGACCTTTGATTAGTAGTGCATTAAGGTTCATCTGACGTCTGTACGGACTTCATCCGGTTCTTGACCAACTTTTATCTTGTTCTTGACTTAGCCTTGTTTGATACTTGGTTTGGCCTTTCGTTTGATACTTCAAGACTTCAACTGCTAGTACGCTTCGTCTTGTATCTGGCTTTTGATTAGGTTTTAGTCTTGATGTCTGATTAACCATCGTCTGATGTTTTGTGCAGCTCAACTAGGCATGGTATGTGCAATAACGCGGACTCTATTTTTTAGTTTGTTCTTATATTTATCTGAAACACTAACACATATGTTAGAAATAACAATATGCATTATATTTGTCATGTTCAAAACCTTGTTGGGGATTTCTTCGTCCGACTTAACACTTAAAAAAAAAGGCCAAACAATTATAAAAGAGGTTTCCAAGTGGTGGAGAAAAGAAGAGTAAGAAGTGTAAGTGTACAAGTCAAAATTCAATCACAAGAGTTACTAGTTTTTCTATTACTTTAAAGAATTTAAAGATTTTTGAGATATGAAATTTCAATTGCAGTACCAACTCTGATATTTATTCTTGTAATTGAAATTGACTAAAAAGAAGGTAATATAAAATCAACCTTGGTTACAAGTGATTGTTTCACTGTATTAACATTGATATTCTGATACATTGGTAATAAATCTTGTAATCTACTGTTCTTTGTTAAAACAAATTGAGTAAAGGCTGAATTTTAGATATCTTGATAGGTCTTTATCAAGAATTTCAGGAAAAGAGAGTCATCTTAGGATAGAATCTATTCAACTCGCCCTTCTAGATTCTTGTAAACTGGGACCAATGAAAACTAGATGACGCTGAATTCAAATTAAAAGAAAACAACAGATCAACAATGGATGCCACAACATTTGGAACTTTCAACTCATCCAACATATAGAGTCCCCCTTGTTTACGGCATGTACCAATTAGACTCCCAGATTGTGGATCTTGTGCATAACATTTAGTGGAAGAGAACAAAATTGAATAACCAAAATCACATAATTGACCAACAGAAACAAGATTCAAAGTGAGACTAGGATTGTAATAAACATTTGAAAGTATCAAATTAGGTGTGGACACAGATCCAGTGCCTGCTAATGGCATTGGTGTGCCATCAGTAGTCATGACGGGTATAGATTACATAGTATTTAAAGACACAAAACACTTAGGATCATATGATAGGTGGTGAGATGCTCCAGAATCAAGAATCCATATTTTCCTTCTTCACACGCACCATCTTTTTGCGACTCTCCTTAACTGTGAAAGAACATGGGTACTGCACAGACTATCATAAAAAATAACTTTTAATGACAATCTTTTTAGTGATAAGAATGTAAATTATGTAATTGACAATAAATCAATCATAAACTTCATTATTTTATGATTAATAAATATTAATTGTTAAAATTTATTATTTATTAATCATTACTTTATATATGAAACCAATTTAATTAAGTTTTTCTAATAATTTAATAAGTTTTTACTAGCATTTTATATAAAATTTGATAATAATATTAGTAACTTTGGATACATTGACTATTATTTAATTATTAATAAAAAAATTAATTATTATTTATATGATATCTAAAGAAAAAATAATTAAGTTAATTTTATGGGGTATTTGATATGCTAAATGTTTCCAGTTTCCAAAAAATTTAAAATTGAAGATCTTAATTTCTCATATTTAGTAATTATTTTAAAAAAATCACATAAATATAATTTTTTGAAAATCATTTTTATCACACTTTCTTACAAAAAAAATTCTCATGAAAGTGGGAATTCAACTTTTTTGAATTAGGAAAAAAGTTCCATGCATGTTAAAATATCATAGTAACCATTTTTAAAACAAACTCTCTTTCTCTCTCTCACATTCTCACTCCCCCCCCCTTTCTTCCTCTTCCTCTCCGGCCTCTTTCTATTTCTCTTTCTCTCTGTCTCACTCTCACTCCCCATCTCCCTCTCGCTCTCCCATATCTCTCTCCTTCCTATATTTCTATTTCTTTCCCTTTCTTTCTTGTATTTCATTATTTCTTGATCTTGTCAATTTTAATAATATTATTAAGGTTAAAACCCTTATTTGGTCCCTGATAACATTTTTTTGTTTCAATTTAGTCTCATTTTAATTTTTGGTCTTAAATTGCAATAATTTAAATTATTGGGGACCAAATTGAGACAAAAAATTAAAGTGAGACTAAATTGAAACAAAAAGATATTATCAGAGACCAAATAAGGGTTTTAACCTATTATTAAAGTTTTTTTTCTCTATGGTTTAAAAACCAAAGTCTTTTATCACATTGGGAAGAAAAGCCCAATCAATGGTGTCGAAGCCTTTTTTGATGTTGAGTTTGATGCTCACATTGCCACCAAAACACTTCTTATCTATCATATTGATTACCTCTAATGTGGTCACAATACAATTAGAAATTTGTTTATCGCAAATGAAGTCTCTTCGTTGTCATGAGATTATTTTAGAGATGATAGAAGAGAGTCTCATGGCTAAAATCTTGGTGATTATTTTGAATTGGAAATTGGCGAGAGCAATGGGCCAATAATGCTTAATTCGATTAGTATTTGGAATTTTTGGGATGATAATCACAACATTGGAATTCAAGTTAGGTCACCTTCTCTAAAAACTAAATGGTAGCATCACCAACATCTTGCTTGATGATTCCCTAATAATAATGGTGGAAATGACCACCAAATCCATCGAGACCATAAGCATTAGAAGCATTCAAGTAAAAACACCCTCTTTGATCTCCTCTAAAGAAGGGAGATTTGTGAGAAAAGAATTATATCTTCCTGGGAAATTAGATTAGGGATGGCTTTATTGACAAGCTCATTATTGTGGCAAACATTTTGACGAGCAAACAAATTGGTATAAAAATCAGCACATGCATCTGAATGTCATACGGATCATGCAGGATAATATCATTATGACAACGGGTGGAGATACCATTTTTGGAGTGATGAATACGAGCTATTTTATGAAATAAAGCAGTATTGTGGCATAAATTTATATGCTAGTGCATTTTGGCCTTCTCCTTCCAGAACTCATCTTTAAAATGGAAGGCCTGTTGAAGTTGAGATTAAGTGTGAAGTTCATGATCAAGGAGCTCATTTGCACGGCCAAATTAATTCTTGTCATTTTGTATATCATGAAGGGAATTTAACGTCAGTTGAGCATTTCAATTAATATCGCCAAAAATATCTTTATTCTAGACCTTGAAAGCTCTTTTGAGAAGTCTTAACTTTTGAGCAAGGATGAACATATGGCAACCTACCAAATTAGTTTCCAAAACCTCTTTAATGAGCCTATTGCAATCTTCATGGGCTGACCACATTTGCATAAATTTGAAAGAAGGAGGATGACTATGATTATGGTTTTGTAGAATCAAAAGCAGGGGAAAATGATTAGATTTGTTTCTAAGAAGGGTGCTCACAAACAAGCTACTCCAAAATTGTAAATAAGCATCATTATAGATCACTTTATTAAGACGAAGATCAACATGGGTAGAACCTATACAATTATTAGTCCAAGTATACAAGGCACCCCTATTGTTAAGGTGGATCAGATTATTGATATATGTCCAAGACTAAAATTCTTTACAAGTAAGGGAGTGAGGATGTCTTCTCCCCTTTTTTCTCTTGAGCACTTAAAATGGAGTTGAAATCTCCAATAAAGGATCAACAACCTTAATAAGAAAGTTGCAGGTTGGTGAGATTGAGCCAAAGAGTCTGGTGCTTAGTGTAATTTGTGGAGGCATAAATGCCTAAAAAAATAAAATAAAATAACAGATCCAGAGGTGACATTTAAAGCTACATGTTGGTCAAAGCAAGAAAGGATATCAAGGTTGAGATGAGAAGAGCAAAGACACCACTAGTTTGGCAAGTTAGCCATGCGATGATTTTGAGCAAATGGCTTTAGATTGAGATTATTCCAAAATATAGGGGGAATATAAGAAAAGAAGACCATAGATTCAACAACTAAGAGAATATCCAATTTGTGAAGCACATAAAGCTGGTTGAGAATCGGTCTAGTATATAGATTGGCTATACCACGAAGGTTCCAATAAAGGACTTTTATGATGTTTTCTATTTTTTGATTGAGCAACGGTTAGTGGAATGCTTAGGGGCGGATTGTTTTGCTAATATTTTCTTCTTAGAGCTTTTAGAAATAACCATGGTGAAACTATCTTCTTTGTTTAATTCCTCTACGACTTCAATCTCTTCATCAACCCAAACTTTGGATAACATATTGAAATTGTGTTCAACTTGAGGCACCCAAAGGCTATTACCATCCATTCCATTAGGAACTGGGGGAATGGAAATGGTGTTTGGCTGTAGCTTTGGAAGCACAAAAAAACTCGGCAAGATTTGCATGATGCAATGTTATGTTTGCTTTAAAGGAGGTACCTGCAACTATAAAGGAATCATTGTCATAATCATTATCACTACTAACCTATTTAGCGCCAAGAGCTTTGTTGAAAGCAATCTATTGATCAAATTTCTCTGTTTCCCTCATATTCTATATAGCAGCCTTTTTGACCATATATCGAACATGTGTGCTTTTAGGAGCTTCATCGTGGATTGCAAGGTAAGCACTCTTAGAAGCATCCCCTTAGGAAGAAGTTCCTTACCAAAGAGCCAGAGAGATTGGATTTGAAGCTCTTAGGATTACCTATTACTAAGTCTTTGAGGGGGTTGTGAACTCAGTTGGGATCCTGTTGTTCCAAAGAAATAGATTTCTTACATTATGCTGGATTGTGTCCAATTATCTTGCACCTCGCACAAAAGGGTGGTAGCTTCTCATACTCAATCCTCAAGTAGAAAGCAAAAGCTTTCTTTCAACCAAGACTTCGGAGTGAAGCTTTTCCTAAAGGTTAATGTCCACTAGCATAGTTGAGCAAAGTTCCCAAATGTTTTACTTTTTGTGGCTGCATCAAAAGCGATTGGTGTACTGATTCTTAGCAATCTCAGATAAAAGCTTAGGGCACCAATATTCCAGAGGGATATCACAGATTTTGATCCAACATTGAGAATGGGATAGATTCATGGTGTGTGGGTTGAAGTCAGGGGTCCATTGATAAAGCCTAAACAACATCAGTGGTAGATTCTATGTGTTTGCTGTCCAGATTTGACTTTGGTCCTTCAAGGAAAAGAAACTAAACTTGAAGAAGCCCTTTTTGAGGGGGCTCAATTTCCACTGGCTCATAGGTCACCAAAGTTTCATCAACTTATCTCGGGGGTCTACTATTTTGATGGGGATAACACCCTTAGGAAGAACCAATCTTCCATGGAAATTAATTTTGCATAAAAGCACGTTGGAATATTGGTATTCCTCTTTGAAGATTTTGATAGAAATCGTATCCCTTTTAATGCACGATATAGGCATATTGGCAAGGGGACGGATGTCGCAAGGACAAGATATGATGTTGGTAAAGGAAGCCCTCACGGGAGCCTTCATGACTGGTTGATTTATGGTAGGAGAAGGAAAATTTTCCAGAAAGCCCCAAGGGTAGAGGGCTGATGGTTCGTCATCCATCAAAATATTTGAAATTTCTAAGGTGTGTGGTTTCCCCAGTAAATATTCATAAACGATAAATTTATTGTAAAGGATATACATAACATTACATATATGAATTAATATTTGTGCACCACTATCTTAGCCTCAAGAGTAGTTTTATGTGTATAATACATACTTATTACATTAACTTTTGGAATGAATCAGTTCACTTTCCTGCAATTAACACGAATTTCACCTCGATTCCCAGTGAGGGGTTGAATGTTACCCATCTTAATCATCGAATTCGCGAAGTCCTCATTGAAAGCCTCAACATCATTACTATACTGTTTAACTAGTGCATCAGTGGAACCACCATTGAAGAGTTCTTGATCAGAGTGAAGAAGCCCTTTCTTATGAACCAAATCAGAGAAATAGGCTTTGTCAAAGTGTGCAGCTGTTTGGTCCAAAGGGGAAAGGTTGGAGTCACTTCCATTTCTAGGGCAAATGTATTTAAGCTGTTGTGCAAAGCTAGGGTCAATGTTGGAGTCATTGTACATGTGGTCCCTAAATGAAACACATCGTGCATATCCAATGTTGTGGCCTCCTGAAAGGACAACAAGGTCTTTCTCATCGAGACCATGGTTCTTGAAGTTGGTAATGAGTTGAGAGAGGTTAAAATTTGGTGCAGGAATGTTTGCATCTGCTGCTTCACGACTTGCTGTGGTGGAGTCTCTTCTCCCAAGTTTCACATCCCATGTTGACCCACCTAACTGCATGGTGCAAGCACATAGTTCTTGTTCACAACTTATTTCATTCATGTATTATAAGAAAAAGGGTAACTTCTGGATAAATCTCCCTGAAAACACTTCTAAAAAATACGAAGAAAAAAGATCTATTAACTGTTAACTTTTTCAAAATTTTAATTTTAATTACTACATAAATTAATTTTAACTTATAAAAAAAATTATTTCAATTTTTTCTTATTTTTCTTTTTTAAAAGTGCTTCTAAATAAACTTATCTAGTACACAATAAAAAAACAATGGTGACATCCAAAACGTCAACTCTTAATACAATTGTGTTGTTCATCATGAATTTTTACAGTTAATAAACTAAAATTGCATTTAATTAAGGCATTTCTTTATTTAAATTAGAGTTTAACTCTTACGGTTCATAAACAAAAGTTTATATTAAAAGTAATTATATAAATTACTCAATTAAAACTTCAATTCGGATAAAAGAAAACTACACACTTAAAAAAACATTATCCTTAGAAATATTAATCAAACTCACCGCAACGACAGAATCACGAGCGGCGACAGCCAATATATCAGCACAAGAAACAACTGGTTTTCCACATGCTTCGTCAACTGCTTCCTTTATCTTATCCACCACTTCAAACCCTCTAGCGGATTGAAAATTAGCACGCGCATTCTTTTCACTGTCAATGGAGGATGTGGAGTCTAGAAGAACTGAACCATCACAGCCCTGAGAATCACATCACAAATTAACCAAGTAATTAGTAATCATTAGACTCACATCACATCATCAAAATATGATCCCCGCATTTAAAATGATATGGTGGCTATTGTTTAAGGTAATATAAGCATGCATGCACTAATGTGTGTGTATATACGGCAATAAGAGTGTGTGCATGCATGCATAATAATTTACGTACGTTAACGAAGCAATCATGGAAATGCAAGCGTAGCAAGGATGCACCCATACGGTACTCTTTCTTCACTGCAGCCTCTACGACACTTTTGATGGTGCTCAAAGCTTTGGGGCACGAGTAGTCATAGTAATTTGGTGTCAATTGTGACAAAGCTGAGGTTGCAAGAGCCACATACACAAAGGCATGGAGAAGAACAAAGAAATACCCACGCGATGCCATACTAATAATATGCAATGACTTATCAGGATAATATTAGGCCAATGATGTAAAACCTATGACTTTGTAATTTGTTTGGATTGCTATTGCTACTTTGCTGTATTTATAGGGGCACGGAGACGTGTGCAGTGGAAAAAATACAATTATTTTATTGTTGGTCCAAAGAAAAAAAAATACCAATAAACTTCACCATATCATACATGTAGTGATTTTTTGGACCGGTCAATGAAAAAGACCATTTCACCTCAGAGAAAAGTTCATTGTAGGTATCAATAAATCAACAAATATCCTAAAAAACAAAAGAATGCTTCAGTGATTGATTTAGTCTACTGGGGTTGTTGATTGATATACACACGCCAACCACAGTGGGTAATGAGAAAAGGTTGTAAATGGGGAATGTATATTGGATGCATGTCCTTTTCGACTAGTTCAATTCCGAGTATGATATGCTATTAACATAGAAAATTCAACCAAAACAGTTAATAATCCTAGTTAATTAATCGAGTTAAATAGTTGCTTGTACAAAAAAATGTCATGTTAATTAATTAGCTGTTCACAATTTATTGCAAGCATGTAAAAGTTTCAAAATCACACACATGGGCAATTGGGGAAAATTCAATATACCAGCTAATTACTTGTTAAATGTGATGTGACTTTGGGAACCAACATGTGTTCAAATCTTCCAGAAATTATTTTCTAAAAAAAAAATATATAATTTCGACTGTAAGTCAATAATTTATATATGTTGATTTAGTATCTAAAAGATAATATTGTAAATATGATTTAATCTTCAATTTTGTCAACCTTCTTCTACCTCGTGATAAAATAATATAAATGTATTAACTTTGATCAAGACAAACTTATAGGGACTAACTTGTCTTAAAGATGATAAATTTACACAAAATATAATAAATACTTTTGAGAAGAAATAGTAGATATTTATTTTGATAGTTAAAAAAGAGTTTAAAAAAAAAAAAAAAACAGGACTTAACCAGATCAATTATATTTAAGCTATTCATTCGATGCATGTTGTATATATATAACATGTTTTTTTTTTATACTCTCTCTATTATTGTTTAATAGTATGCAAATACATTAATATATTATTTATATGTTAGTATTACAATTAAGTCCTTATAATATATTGATAACTCTTTTATTTTATTTTTTACTCAATATTGTTTTTCTCCTTTTAAATTCATACAAAAATTAAATAAATTTTCACAACTAATTATTTTTAAATAACTATTTCTTTTTTAAAATATTAATCAAAATAGAAATCTCTGAAATTATTTTAGTTAAACAACATAGAATAAATATATATTACATCTTAGATATGGAGCCATAATTGAACATATCATTTTATTTCTATGGGAATTGATTAAGTGAGAAGAAATTATACCTTCTTATCAAACAAAAAATAATTAAATATATATTAATATCTAGACTTGAAATTAATACATATCAAGGGCTGTAACAAAAAATACATATAATGTTATAGATATTTTTTTAGAATAAATTAATTTTTTGAAATATCTCAAAATATACAATAATCTTCACATGTTTCAAAGGTTTAAAAAGAAATTTTGGGTTCATATATAAGATGTAATAAATAGTGTAACAAGCTACTGAACCAGACTTAAATTAATAAAACTTAACGCACAATGTAGTGAGTGTAGCAAGTTATTGAATTTACAACACTTAGCATGTATCAAAAGTTAATCAATCACAATATACCCCCACAATCTTTGTTGTTATCATTGTGTTGCACCACTAGGTCATGCACGTTTGGTATTCATGAGTGTTTTAGAAATTTTACCAAAATCTCATGCAAGCGGCCCCACTTGATATTCATATGGTGATTTCATCAAGTATATACTGAAAATCATACATCACTCACAAGGATGTGAAAATCATTAAAATTTATAAGAAGTCAAGATTTCTCATAATCACATAAAGCTTAACTATAAAGATTATCCTCTCAATAATGCAACTTTAACACTTTCTCACACCATAAAAAATCAAAATTGATTAGAATTAATTTTGGTGCTAACAAAATTAACAAGTGACTTATTTTTCTCATTGGACCTTCTTCATGGAATCTCCAATCATAAAATTTGGGTTACAATCATTGTTTGTTTCAAGTGACTATAATAAAATCTTATTCCCCTCGATGTTCATAAATAAATCATGATGTTTTATAAATAATTATTTTTTCTAGGAGTTTAAAGTCAAAGGATCAATTAAATCCATTATTGACTATAATTAATAATTTCCAATCATTTTAAGCAATTTCTATATCACATCATTTTTTAATTTTATATTCTCAACAAAATATTTGCTAAGAGAGGTTTTCAACTACTAATAAACCTCATAATCAACCATCTTTATAGTAATAAATTCTAATTCAATAATTATATTTAGTTATCTCAAATTAATTTCACTACAATAAAGTGTAATGACACATCATTAGTGGATTTTGTCTCATATGGATCCAAGACTCAATTAGACATCATTGTATTTTTTAATACAATGTAAAACCACAATTTTAAACATCATAATTTATGATACCTCTCTAGTATATCTTGATATATAACTGTCTCATATAGAGAACACCATATTTAACACTATAGCCAAGTAAAATTACTCAAAATTGTTAATAATTCACATAAATGTCATAAATGAATACAACTTTTAAGAGTTAAACTTAAAAATCTCACATCACTGATACCACCTATGATACCCTCTATCTTATATACCATCGTAGTATATAAATTTGACAATTATCCAATGATTTTTGCAAATAATTCTATTAAATAAAATAAATTTTTTTTGGTAGAAGTATGATGGAAAAGTCTTGTAGGAGTGAATGAGGTTCTCTTCCAAGCTCCATCTTCAACGACCAAATCTTCTCTTGAGGCTTCAATGGACCTTCATGTATTGTGTTTCAAGCTTCAAAGCTTGAAAGAAGCAACAATGGTGGACAGTTTCTTCTTGAAGAAGAAGAAGAAGAAGAGGTGAAGAACCAAGGCACAAAGGAAGGATTCCTTTGTGAAGGTTCTTAAGGAGAAAGGTTTCTCCACGGTTTTGGGACTCTTGAGAGAGAGAGAAATTAATTTCTGAATATTCAATCTCATATATGTCAAAAATGAATACAGAGGTTAGGGAAAGGTTTATATAGAGTAGGAAAACTTGTGGAGCAAGCTAGGCTAACTATGGTTCAAGAGAACCATGATTAGCTTAACTTGACCATCCATCATGGTTTAGGAGGCTTGTGGAACAAGCTTCTAACTTAGAAGCTTGGGAATCAAACTAAGTTAGAAGCTTGTAGCACAAGCTTCCCAAGTGTGCAAGCAAACTACTAATTCGGCCAAAGAAGAAGAATGGGCGGCATATTGTTTCCAAAAAGTTCTCCAATCCAAAAATCTTGGAATTGGTTTAGTTAAGTTCACCAAATGGTGGTGAGACCTAACTAAATCAATTCTTTGGAAAATATGGAGAAAAACAAGTCCAATATGTAAAATTTGGCCTAGGCCCAATCTTGGCCCAATTACTAGTTGCACCTACACACATTACTATTTGTCACCCCACTTCTACTACTGAAAATATAAAAATGGATGACCCTTAATACAAGGTCAAATGGAGTAAAAGTCTCCAAGTAACATACTTTAAATTCTTAAAAGAATATCCTATAATGAAAGAAAGAAAAGTGTCTCACAAAGGCAAAGACAAAAATGAACCTATACAAGAACTACTATATACAAGCAAGCTAGACCATCTCTTCAAGATGTGATGGCCCACATGAAAAGTAGTTTGGGCTTGGCAAACCCACTAACCTCCAAGCTAGCCAATCTTTATTGTATGCTCCTAGCCATAGCTCGAGTAATTGGACCCTTGGCCCATGGTCCATCAAAGTATCACATTACAACCAAAACTAAACAATAAGAAGATAAAAAACGTGTTCAAAAGTAATTACAAAGAAATAATAATCTAAAACCTTTTGCCAATTCAACTAATAGAATAAGTCCTAATTTAAACAATCAACTAGAAATAATAATTTCTATTTATTGTCCCGATGTCACATCTTATTAGAGTATTCATAATAGAAGGTCTAAGTCTTGTCTCCAACCTCATCATTTTCATAATAATTTTCTCCTACAACTACACACCAAAAGAAACAACAAAAGAAAGGGTAGTGAAAATATCTCACTCCAACTATTAATGCAAGTTATAACTGAGTAACCACACATAAAATAAAATAATTAACTAATATAAATTCACTTTAAGATCAATAAACATTACATCTAACTAAGATACAATTGTTATGTGTGCTAATGCAATGGACAAGGACACTCCTAAATTATAAGCATATGTGGTGCTAGTAAAAAATATTGTCAACTATTACTCAAAGGCCAATTAAGAGTATCTTAAGAGAACATGTCGAGTCACAACCATCGCAACACCAGGATGCATCAGAATAATGATGTTGCATAAGTTACACTCCATGCATACAATGAGCAGATTTAGAGCTCCCAAACTTGACTATTTCTAATTTCATGAATCCCCAAGCTTTTACGCAAAGGGGCCTCCTCTAGCAACATATTTCACATTGTACCCATTCAAAAATCAATTGATGCACATTATGCATGCCATACAGGTTTCTTATGAAATCTTATGTTCAATATAATTCATCAATCATGCTCACATATACATATTCATCAACTGTATCTAACCATCACATTAAGCACAAATAGCTAGGCAATTCTTGTCCAAACTTTCATACGGCTAAGTTCAACTTAGACTTCCATTTGTATCACCATCTCATGGTTCACACACAACTCATCACATGTTCTATCACATTATGAGTAGAGTAATCACACAACTAGATTCTTATAACAAATATACATTCATTCAATGATATAATTCATAAAATAGTTACAATGCAATTCATACACTAGAACTAGATGACACGTAGCGAGAGACACCATGCGCCTAGCATATTCCTAATAGAGAACACACTTTACTCTCGAGAAGGGTCAATACCAATGCAACCCTCCTACA